ATTTTTGTGTGTGTGAAGAATAGAGCTCAAGGTTTCTTTCCCTATTCAGATGTCCAGTTGTCCTACTTCTTTTCCTTTAAATTCCAGTGGTGCCTTGGTTATAAATTAAGTGGCCAGCTACATGTACATCTGTTTCTGGACTCTAATGTGTTCTATTGGATTTTAATGTTACATTATCTTATTTACTATAGTTTTATATAAATCTTTAGATCTGATTGTTAAATTACCCAGTTTTGTCTTTAACTTGACTTTTTTTGAAACAGGGTCTCCCTGTGTAGCCCAGGCTGACCTCAAACTCACAATCCTCCTGCTTTGGCCCCCTTAGTGCTGGGATTATAGGTATACACCACTGTGCCTGGCTGTCTTGACTATTCTAATTCCTTTGCCCTCTCCATGTAATTTTTGAATCAGTTTATCAGTTTATGCCTTTGTTTTAATTGAAATTGCACTGAATCTCTAGATCATTGTAGAGCAATTTGACTGTATTTAATTCTTGAACATAGTATCCATCTCCATCTATTTAGATCTTTAATTTCCCTTAGCAGTGCAGTGTTCAATGAAGGTTGAATTTTCATTAGATATTAGTATTTTGGTTTTGATACTGTCATAAATGGAAGTTTGTAAAATTTCAGTTTCTAGTTGTTGCTTGTACATAGAAGTACAGCTGATTTTTGTATGTTGACCTTGTATTCAGGGGCAGTACTAAATTTACTCATTTGCTTAAAAATCTTAACAATTCTTTTTATATTTTTGATCATGTATAACATTGGGCTATAATTCTTCTTTAATGACAGCTTTTTTTAAAAATAGGGTTCATGCTGGGTGTGGTGGTGCACACCTATAATCCCAGCACTTGGGAGGCTGAGGCAGGAGGACCGTTACGTGTTCTTCGAGACCAGCCTGGGCTACAAAGTGAGCTCAAGGCCAGCCTAAACTGCATAGCGAGACCCTGTCTCAAAAAGGATAAAATCAAGATTCTACAAGCAAGATTGGTTTTAACATTTGAAAGTCAATCACCCTAGTTCATTGCAACAATAAAGGAATTTATCTTAGTAGATTTAGGCAAGGCATTTCATAAATTTAAAACGTGATTATTTAAAAACCTCTGAGCATAAAAGCAAGTCTGGTATAGTTGTACATACACATTGTAATACAGCACTGTGGGTGACTGAGGTAGGAGGGGGATTGCCAGTTTGAGCCTGGACAATTTAGCAAGACCCTGTCTCAAAATAAAATATAAAAAGGCAGGATGTAGCTTAGTGCAAAGGGCCTGAATTCCCTTTCTAGTATCAAAAAACTCAAATGAATAAAGTGAAATTTCTAAATCTAATAAAGAATATTTACCAGCTCCTCCTCTACCCAGTACAGGTAGTATCATACTTAATGATGAAATACTGCCCTCTTTTCTCTTAAGTTTAAGAAGTAGATTCTGATGTCCATAGGAGTATTTTAAAACCAGTCCCAGCAATCTTATTATTCTAACAGTAAATATTTCAGCAAGTAATTTATACAATGAAAAATAACAATATATTGTTCCTAGTAAGTTTCATAAGACTTTTACTTTATGTGTATAATTGTGTTCTTATATGTAACTTGAAATGTTACTCTGGGAGGCTAAGCAGGAGGGTTACAAGTCTGAGCCCAGCTGGAGAATTTAGTGAGTTATAAGATCCTGTCTCAAAATAAAAGGTAAAAATGGTCTAGGGTTGTTACTCAGTCTAAGACCCTGAATTCACTCTTTAGTACCTCAAAAAAAGAAAATATTTTTCTCCCTCATTGTGGCATTGTGCTTAGAAAACCTGAGTTCACTGATCTAGAGTTATATTTTTCAGAATTTTAAATATTGGTGAATTGAAACTTCATCTGAGTAAAATCAGTGCTATCTTTCTTATTGAGATTGTTTTGTGAGATTACTTGTTAATTTTCTGGGGGAATAACTTACATGTAATGAACTGCATCTACCTAAAGTGTGCAATTCAGTGAGTTTATCACAAGATAAATAGAATTTCCATGGTTCCTAAAAGTTTATTTCATTTTCTTTCTGGCCCTAAGAAACCACTGGTCTGTCTATTGTGTTCATTTTTGCTTGTTTTTGTTTAATGGTATATGAATATTCAATATTTAAATAAACTTAATTTTTAAATTACTTTAGATTTATAGAACAGAGCTAGTATGGTTCCTATAAACTGACACTGAGTATTTTCTGTTTTTAACAGTATATTTTCATAATTCATTTCCTAGGGTTATACATTAAGTAAAATCCATACTTTATTCAGTTTTCTTTAGTTTAACTTAATATCATTTTTCTTTTCTTTTCTTTTTTTTTTTATTTTTCTCCAGTACCGGGAACCGAACTCATGACCTTGTGCTTGCCAGGCAGGCACTTTGCCGCTGAGCTAAATCCCCAGCCTTCATTTTTCTTTTCCAAGATCCTCTCAGATACTTTACTTTATTATTCTAAGTCAGTGTGTCTTCCTAGGCTCCTCTTGACGCTGACAGTTTCTCAGCTCAGCCTTTTTCTTTTTGGTGTTTTTTTTTTCCGGTACTGGGAATTGAACTCAAGACCTCGCACTTTCCAGGCAGGCGCTGCAGCCTTACTGTTTTTGATACCCTTGACAATTTTGAGGAGTAGTAGCCAGCTTTTTTATAGGGTATTTGTTGGAATTTGTCTGGATTCCCCCGGCCCCCCCCCCCCCAGGTAAGTGGTCTAGCCTGAGCTACATCTTTAGTCCTGTCTTGATATTTTTTTCTTACGATCTGACTGGGATTGTAGGGTTTTTTTTTTTAACCGATAGCTTTGTGAGGAAATGTATTGTAAATCTGGGATGCCTAAAACTTAAGGCTGAAATGGCTGAGAGATGAAAAACTAGTCCTGGAAACCTGTTGTGCAGTGTCTGGCATAGCATAAACACTCTAGTGAGAAAAGAGCTCTGAATTAACTATAAATGGGACACCCCCCCCAACACACACACCTTTTTTATATTTTAGGTCATTTTAAAATTTTTGCTCTTTTTTTTTGTTGTTTGTTTTTTTCTGGTATCGGGAATTGAACTCACAACCTTGTGCTTGCCAGGCAGCCACTATGCCGCTGAGCTAAATCCCCAGCCCCAATTTTTGCTGTCTTCATTACCACTCATTGAAAGATTTTTAATACTTTTTTATAAAAACATTTTACCTACACTTTACTAAGTATTTTTACACTTTTCTTACATACTTTTGTAAAATAAACTTACCTAGGCCTTAGTTCTTATTAGCGTTTTAGAGGTACCACCCACAGTTAGTATATGATCCTTAATTCTGCATCTACTTTTATCAATGAGAAGAGTGTTTCTGAAAAGGTTGCAACAGTAAGGAAATGGAAAAAGTTGAGATTTCATTGAAATTGTCTTTCCTATGGTATCAGTGAGAAATCGTCACTTATTCAGATTAACTGTGTGGCATTGATTCCATCTCAGTGCTGCTTTTATCTACCAAAAGTAAAGCTCTTCCTTAAACAGAAGTTGGTAGAAAAAAATTTCCGCCTTACTAATTCTGGAAAGGGGTTAAGGATTAGGATGAAAATAGTATTATCTAAAATGCCTTCTGGGGGCCCAGGATATAGTTCAGCGGCCTAGTGCCTGCCTGGCAAGCACAAGGTTATGAGTTTGAGTCCCAGTACCAAAAATAAATAATAAAATGCCTTCTGTGTATAGTATCAATTGTGGAGATATTTGCTTGGGAATAAGATGCCATAATTTTAAAATTGTTAAAAATCTTAATTTTCATATTATCCATGAGGTGCTTATGTGAAAGAAAAGATATGAATTATCTGTTTGCTGGTATTTTTTGGAAAGGGATGAGGTAGAGGAAATACAGTTTTGGTCTTTGAGGGATAGAGATGTTTATTCAACTGCCGGAGATTTTTGTGTATTTCTGGGCCCTGTTCTGTTTCATTGATCTGTTTTTCTGTTGTTTAGCCAATACCACACTGTCTTGATTCCTATAGTTTTAGTCATTTTTCTTTTTTTTTTGTTCTTTTTTTCCGGTACCGGGAATTGAACTCTCGACCTCATGCTTGCCAGGCAGGCACTGTGCCGCTAAGCTAAACCCCCAGCCCCTTAGAGTCATTTTTGAGATTGGGTATTACAGACTCTTGAGATTTGTTTACTTTTTTTTTTTTTTTTGAGATAAGGTCTCACTATGTCATTCAGGCTGGCCTCAAGTTTAGTGATCCTCCTGCTTTAGTGACCTTCCCAAGTGCTGGAATTCACAGGAGTACACCACCACTCCGGGCTTACCTAGGTCCTTTCTAATTCATACAATCTCTTAATTTGTTTAGTATTTATTAAATCTGTCCCACATTACTAGAGAAATAGAAAAATAATTAGATACTGCTTTGCTCTTGGCGATTGTACTCATAAGTAAGGAAAGTGCCCGCATTCACTATGATTGACCTAGTGATACTTTCTGAAAAATACCAACACAAAGTAGAAGTATGGATCTTTGGGATTTCCCTGCCAATGAAGTGGAGAGGTCTGATGCTGGGATGAATTTTGTAACAGCTCCTGTCCCTTCTTTCTTACTCTTCAACAGTATAGTTCTCATAGCCCTTATACCCCTCTTAAGACTCTTTTATCTTTCTACTCTTAGGGATTGTACTTTGCTTCACTAAATGAAGTGGACCTGAACCTAGATGAGTTCTTTTTGTTAGGGCCCAAGTAAATATCTGCTTGGCTTTTTGTGAATTAGAGAGTCAGCATAGCAGATTGCTTTCCTCCATCCTGTTTCTTCATTTTCCTCTTCTTAACTAAATAAATACTCTTTACCTATGTTCTTAATGTGGAGAGATTGTTTATGGTTAGAGAAAGTCATGTCAAGCAGCTTGGGACTGTATAGTTTTTATTATGGTTAGAGCCACTGCAGATGTTGTCCTTTTAATAGTAGCTCTTTGTAGAATAAGTGCCTGAGAACCTAGTGTAATGTGTTCACTGAGCAATTCTTTTTTTTTCTTTTCATTTCAGTTGGAAAGACGTCCTTGATCACCAGATTCATGTATGACAGTTTTGACAACACCTATCAGGTATTTTATTTTTGTTAATTTATTAGTTATCTATTTTTGTGTTAAATTAATATTCAAGATATTTTAAAAATACATTTAAATGCAATCCTGAATGTAAAAACTGTAAGATGCTATGTTAATATAAAGTATAAAGGATTTTTGCCCTCCGTCCTCAATCTTATTCAGTTAGTCTTTTGTTTTTTGAGACAGGGTCTCATGTAATTCAGGCTGGCTTTGAACTCTCTATGTAGCCCAGGCTGGCCTTGAACTCACCTCGAATCTCCTACCTCAGCCTGCCAAGTGCTGAGATTATAGTTGTACACTACCTTAATTAGGCTTCATTTCCAACATTTATTGAAAAATTGTCTTAATACCATTTGGGAGGTTATTAGAATTGATCGTAGATATTCTCTTACAGAAAATTCATCCAAATATGGAATTGTGTAACTTGAAGTCAAGAATAAGCCAGGAATGGTGATCCACTCTTGTAATCCTAGCACTTGGGAGGCTGAGGCAGGAGAATTGCCTAGAATTCAAGATCAGTGTGGGATACATAATGAGTTCAAGGCCAATCTGAACTACACAATGAGACCCTCTCTCAATAAAGAAGTAATAAAATTAGAAATCATTAATAGCTGGGCGTAGTGGTGCACGCCTGTAATCCCAGCACTCGGGAGGCTGAGGCAGGGGGATCATTGCGAGTACGAGACCAGCCTGGGCTACAGTGTGAGCTCAAGGCCACCCTGAACTGCACCCTGTCTCAAAAAGACACCCCCCCCACCCCACAAAAAAAAAAGAAACAGTAATAGAAGAAGTTTTGAGAAATTGACTAACAGGTAGAATTAAACAGTCTGCCTAAGTAATAAATGACAAAGAAAGAATCACAAAAGAAATTGGAAAATACTTCAAGGTGAAAAAAAACAAAGTACAACATACCAAAGCTTATAGGATACAGCTAAACTAGTGCTATACAGCAAAGAAAAAAAATATTAATTTAATAAGCTAACTTTTCATCCTAAGAAACCAGAAAAGAAAAACAAACTAAAGTCCAAGCAAATAGAAGAAAAAGGCTACTGTAAAATGTAGTTTTTTATTATTCAGTTTATGGTGAGCCCAGTAAATGCTGTATATCAGATGATTACCATTGAAAAGGTATTTTGTTACACTCACAGATACCAGGAGGAGGAAGTATGCTATGCCACAGGAGAACCACGTGGGGAAGTTTCAGGGTCATTTAAAAGGTGTGCTGGGAATATGGAAGGTTAGGTTATTTAATGTCTTAATGTTTCACCACAGACAAATGGTGTTTAAGGTGATTGATAAGCTAATAATCGAAATGGTCATTATATAAACATGTACCAAAACATCAGGTTGTACCTCATAAACTCGTACAGGTTGTACCTCATAAACTCGTACAGATGTGTCAATTTAAAATTATACCTTTAGCAAACTAGGAATAGAGGAGAACTTTCTCAGGATGATAAAGATCATCTGTGAAAACACCACAGCTAACATCATATTTAATGATGGGAGGCTGTAAGATCAGAAACAAAACATGGGTGTCAGTTTTTGCAACTGCTTAATTATAAAACAAAGCAAAACAAAAAGGCACAAACCAAAAAGAATAAATTTTTTTTTTTTTTTTTTTTTTTTGTTTTTTTTGTTTTTTTCCATTTTTTTTTTGGTTTTTTTGGTTTTTCTCCAGTACCAGGAACCGAACTCACGACCTTGCGCTTGTCAGGCAGGCGCTTTTGCCGCTGAGCTAAATCCCCAGCCCCCCCAAAAGAATAAATTAATAATTTTAAGAATAAGCACTTACACTGACCCTGTATGTTGTAAATCTTCCATATTTCTAAAATAGTTTCAAAATTTTAAAAAGATATTCTTAATCCACTTAATCATATTGAATCTGTATTACTATATAGTTAGCATAGAAACTTTATTTCAATTATTTTGCCTTAGTAGTATATCAAATGTTAGTCTGATTAAGGGAACAGTTAATTTCTGTCATTATTAACTATCACTTATTAACTCCCATGGTCTCAATTATCAAACTTTTTTATTTTTCAGAAAGCTTTTAGGGAGGCCGGGGATATAGCTCAGCAGCACAAGCACCTGCCTGCTAAGCACAAGGACCTGAGTTCAATTCCCAGTACCAAAAAAAAAAAAAGAAAGCTTTTAGGATAAATGTAATTGGAGTCTTTTTTTTTGGTGCCAGTAATTAAACTCAGGACCTTGTGCTTGCTAGGTAGGTGCCATCCTGCTGAGCTACATCCCTGGCCCTTGGAGTCCTTTTTCAGTATACATTTTTCCACATTTGAAATATTTATTTCAGGAATGTGCTTTCTGTTTGTTTTGTTTTTCTTCCGGTACCAGGAATCGAACTCACTACCTTGCACTTGCCGGGCAGGTGCTTTGCCACTGAGCTAAATACCCAGCAGGAATGTGCTTTCTGAATTAAATCTTTCTTTATGAAAAATATGGGCATTTTTTTCATAAAGGTTATAGTAAGTTCTAAGCATTGAAAGGACCTTTATTTGCATCTTAATTCTGGCATTTAATACTTGAATGGTTTGGGACCAGTGATTTAGTTTTTTTGGCATCTGTGTTTTCACATGTGTGAAATGAGAATTGTAACCCCTAAACAAGATGATTCCATCCATTTTGGAAAAAAAGCCCTTTTCTGTGCCTGTTGTCATTTATCAGTTTAGAAACACATTGCTTGTTTTGACTTCTCTCTTTCTTTGAAGACTTTAGCAGTCATTTTCTGCATTCTAATCAGCGTTTTAGGAAACTATGATATTCATGTTGTAGAAGATCTGCTTGCCTCCTCTACTTTCTTTGCTATGATCTCAACCTTCTCTAAAAGTCATTGGGCCAAGCATGGTGGTGCACACCTGTAATCCCAACACTCAGGAGGCTGAGGCAGGAGGATCATTGTGAGTTCGAGACCAGCCTGGGCTACAAAGTGAGCTCAAGACCAGCCTGAACTGCATAGTGAGACCCTGTCTCAAAAAGGAAAAAAGAAAAATTTAAAAACTTATCAAGGGGCTGGGGATTTAGCTCAGCAGCACAGCACCTGCCTGGCAAGCACAAGGTCGTGAGTTCGATTCCTGGTACCGGAAAAAAAAACCAAAAAACAAACAAACAAATAAAAACTTATCAAAAAAATTTGAAACTTCTTTAAACCTGATAAAAGCTGTCTGTCAAACCCTAAAGCTAACATTATATTTAATGATGAAATACTAAAGGCTTTCTCCCTAACATCAGAAACAAGGTCAATGATGTCCTTTGTTACTACTTCTAATTAATATCATATTGGATGGTTTAGCCAATCAATTTAATCAGACTAAAAAGGAAATTGAAGGCATCTAGTTTGGAAAGGAGAAAATGAAACATGTCATTCTCAGATGACATGGTATTGTATATTAGAAAATCCTGAAGAATAAATAGAGTTGGGCATGGTGGTACACACCCATAATCGTATTGCTCAGTAGGATGAGGCAGGATGATTGCCACGAGTTCGAAGCCAGCCTGGGCTACATAATGAGTCCAGGCCATCCTGAACTACATAGTGAAACCCTGTCTCAAAAAGAAAACAACGAAAAACGGGGGAGAGCGATAAAGAATACAAGCTGGGCATGATGGCACACATATGTGATACCAGCACTCAAGGAGGCTGAAGCAAGAAGATACTACCAATATACAATAAGTCCCCAACTTATGAACGAGTTCCATTCAGGGAGAATGTTCATAAGTCAGATTCTTTTATAGCTGACAAAGTGAGTCTTACACTGTACACCTGTGAAAGTTCAAAGCTCAAATGTTTGTAAGTTGGGAACTTATTGTGTATTCAAAATAAAGTTAAGAAAATAGTTCAGTCAGAGTACCATTACAAAGAAATTAAATACTTGGGAACAAATTTAATAAATGATGTTAAGACTTACACTCAGAAAACTATGAAACATTAACATTGCTTGGAGAAATTTAAAAAGACAAGATGAACAGATACTTTCCTAGGTCGGAAGATTATATTGTTTTAAAGTGGCGATTTTCAAATTGCTCTGTGGAGGACTTGGTAGTATCCTTACTGAAATTCCAGGCAGCCATTCAGAAATCACTATGCTAATTCTAAAATTTGTATGGAAATGTGAAGCACCCAGCATAGCCAAAAAGTGTCAAAAAGAAGAATAAAATTAGAGCACTTGTATGTGCGGATTTGATTTACTATAAAGCAGAAGCTTTCAAGACAGTGTGATAATAGCATAGGGATAGATTTGTAGACCATTGAAATAAGAGTTGAGTGTTTAGAAAAAACTTCTTAGTGAAAAATTTTTTTTCAGTAGTGAGTATTGAACCTAGGACCTTTGCACATTCCCATCCCTTTTTATTTTTTGTGAAAGGGTTTCAGTAAGTTACCCAGGCATGACTCAGTCTTTCTGCCTCATCCTCCCAGAGTGCTTGGATTACAGACATGTACCACCATTCCTGGCTAAAACTCTGCATTTATAGGCAGTCAGTTTTACTATTGGGCATCGTGGCGCATGCCTGTAATCCCTGCACTCAGGGGCTGAGGTAGGAGGATCGTTGTGAGTTCGAGACCAGCCTGGACTACAAAGTGAACTCAAGGCCAGCCTGAATTGCATGGTGAGACCCTATCTCAAAAAGACAAAAATAAATAAATAAATAAAGGTTTTAACTGAAATACCAAAGCAGTTCAATCAGTAAAGAAGTAGTATTTCTGCTGATGATGCTAGAACAATTGGATATCCACATGTAAAAATACAGATATTATATTCCTTACTTAACAACCCACCTGTTTGATGACTACTTGGACTTACAACCGAGGCATGTTGTTCATACTTATAACATACTGCTTGTACTTATGAGCTGTGTTTTTTTATGTGTACAGTTTGGTACATCTTATTTATAGAGCCTTAGTATCTTTGTGTGTGTGTGTGTGTGCGCGTGCGCAGCACACCTTATTTGTATGGTACTGTAGTTTTTACTGATTATACTGTATAGTATAGTACTGTAGTTTTATGTTCTGTTATACATTATAGTACTGGATATAAGAGTTATGCAAATAACTTGACCAAAGTCATCAAGTTGGAGTTTCCTTTGACCATTCCTTTTCTTTTTTTTTTTTGAAACAGGGTCTTGCTGTGTAGTTCAGGATGGTCTTGAATTCACTATGTAGCCCATGCTGGCCTCAAACTCATGGTGATCCTTCTGTCTCAGCCTCCCAAGTGCTGGGACTTTGACCATTTCTTTGTTCTGAATATTGTAATGTACATACAATATATAATTCCTCATTTAGCAACCAAATCATTTAATAACCTACTTGCAGGATCATAACTTAATTATTAAATTAGGAATGTGTATATTTAATGTAGACCTCTACCTTATGCTGCATATTAAAATGAACGCAAAATAGGTTATAATCGTAAATGTTAGAACTAAAGCTATGAATTTTTAGAAGAAAGTTCTTAGGAAAACATCTCAGTAATCTTTTTTGTTTTGTCTTTGAGACTGGGTATCTCTATGTAGTTCAAAGTGACCTTAAACTTACTGTGTAGCCCAGGCTAACCTCAACCTCAAAGTAATTCTCCTGCGTCAGCCTCCTGAGTGCTGAGATTATAGGTGTGTGCCACTAAAACCAGCTTCCATAATCTTGAATTAGAAAAATATTTCTATCATACAACAGCAAAAGCATAATCCCTTAAAAGAGTGTTAAATTGAACTTTAAAGCTTTTCTACTTCAAAAGGCTCTATTATGAAAATGGAAACAATTCATGCATTCTTTTTTAGTTTTAAAAAAGTATATATCTTTTCCATCGGGCATGGTGGCACACGTCTGTAATCTCAGAAGATCACCATGAGTTTTAGGCCAGCCTGGGCTACATAGTGAGTTTAAGGCTGGCCTCAACCTACGTAGTGAGACCTTGTCTCAAAAAACAAAACAAAACCAGAGAGAGAGAGAGATTGCCAAAAACTTGCATACACATTTCAGAGGAAAAAACTTTTATCAGTATTTTAATACTAAATTTACTGAGCCATCATGAGATTACTAAAAGTTACCTTTGGCCTCTACAATTACAAGAGGTGCTCAAGGTGGTGGCCATTAGCTTCCATACATTTTATTAATATGATGAACTGCTGCTTGGGTAACCTTTAATCTTGGTCATTGAGATTGCTGCACATGCATTTTTAATTGCTTCTGTAAGGGCCACCAGTATGGTGGGTTTTCTGTAATATACAACATCCTCTCAGATCCTGCATATGAGGGGTAACAACATCTGTTGTGAAAACATCATACTATTTTTCTTCTCCTAAAATGAATGTACAATATTTTTTAGTACACTGTATATTTTAAAAAATTTATTGGTATGTGTTTGTAATATATACTAATTATGTTCATCTTGGGGAATTGGTAAAACATATACATGTTAATTAGAAATAATTAAGCCAAGTGTGGTGGCACACATCTGTGATCCAGCCCTCAGGTGGCTGAGGTAGGAGGATCACCAGAAGTTCAAGGCCAGCCTGGGCTACATAACCAGAGTCTTGTTTCAAAAAACAAAAGTCACAAATGTGAATCTCATTTTTACCATTTGTTTATACCTAATGCCTCAACTCCTTACTTTGAAATTGATAATTAAAAGGTAAAAAATATCTATCCTGCTTTGCATATATACCTTGTGCTTCAGTATAAGCAAATAGCTCTGCGTGGTAAACTTTATGTAGAAGAATTCCATCTAGTGTAAATGTAGCAGAAATGACATAAATCAGCATTTTGTAATTTTAATTACTCCCAGTACTCTTTCCAGTTACAAACCTTCAGATTTTTTAATGGTTTCAAGCTTAAAAGTTTAAACCATTTTGTTATAATTTTTATAATTCAAAAGCAATAAAATGCTAACAATTTTTTTAAGTTGTTCAATTTAATATGGGCTGAAGAAAGAGCCCTACAGTTGGAATAAATTCATTCATTTACCTGCGGAAGATGTGTTGCTCAGAGTAACTTTTGAAATTACTTTGGATTTAAAGGATTTCTTATCCCAAAGGATGTTACAAATTGACAGTAAACATAAGCACAAGATGGCATAGATAAAAACAGTGGCTTTTACATAATAGTAATCAAGTACATTTGTTTTTTTTGTATCCAGAATCGAACTCAGGACCTTGTGATTGCCAGGCAGATGCTTTGCCTCTGAGCTATATCCCCGGCCCTTGAGTACTTTTTTTTTTAATTTTTAACAAAATTCTAGCTTTCTACCAACAGAAATAAAGTTCCCAACTGAATAAACTACTTTTCTTTTTCCTTCCTTCCTTCCTTCCTTCTTTCCTTCCTACCTTCCTTCCTTCCTTCCTTCCTTCCTTCCTTCCTTCCTTCCTTTATTTTTTTTTTTTTTTTTTTTGTGCTTGTGGGGATCAAACCCACAGCCTTTTGCATGCTGGCAAGTCCTTTACCACTCCAGCCTATGAGCCACTTTTCTAATCCAGTGTTTGATACCTTGCTTTTAAATATTTTTTAATGACTTACTTTAAAAATTTAGTCTACTTAGCCAGACGTAGTGGCGCACGCCTGTAATCCCAGCACTCAGGAGGCTGAGGCAGGAGGATTGTTGCGAGTTTGAGGCCAGCCTGAACTGCATAGCAAGACCCTGTCTCAAAAAGACCGAAAAAAAAAAATAAAAATTTAGTCTACTTTCTTTTTATTTCCCATATTTAATTGTGGATTCTTCTTTAACTTACTTAATTTTTTCCCCTTTCCTTATTGTAGTCTTTGTATTTTTGTGACTTTGTTATTTCTCTTTTTTTTTTCTTGCTGATGAAACAGCAGCCAGGCAACAAGATTTTACATACATTTGGACCATAGAAGGAAACTGATTATCATTGTGTGCTACAAAGGAAAATTTGTTTTCCTTAGTTAATTTTCTTTTATATTAGAAAAATTGCTTCCTTCTTAGAAAATCCTATGTCTGGGTCTTTGGCTGTCTGTGACATCAGGACAATTGAGAAGCAATTATGTAGAAAGATTAGTCAGGATAGTAATTTACATTAGCAATATTTTATAAAAGTGCTTTTGAGGCAAATAGTGTTGTTTGAGGAGCACTCAGTTATTCATACTAAAGTTCAAGTAAAAATATGGAAGTATTTAAATGTAAATATGCAAACTAAAATTCTCATTGTCATGTTATCTATAAAGTAATAAAAATGAAGATGAGAATGAGCTACCTTGTAGGAATGTATGAGGATTAGAGATGCTCCATATGAAGGGCCTGAAACAATCTCTAACATTGCAAGTGCTTATTATGTGGCAGCCACTGTTACTGGAAATTTTGTTCATTCCCACTTGGGTATTACGTGCTTAAGTTTTCATTCATTATTTCCCCAGCAATCGTAAATCCCACTTGCATCCTAAACTGCTGGCCATCATCAAACCACTCTTATGTGTTAACTTCTTTTTTTTTTTGTCTTCTAGGCAACAATTGGCATTGACTTTTTGTCAAAAACAATGTACTTGGAGGATCGAACAGTGAGTAATGTTTTCAGTGTGCAATTTTCTGGAATAGTCCACATTAAAACGTATGACCGAAGCTATAATCGGTGATAGTCACCTGTGGAAATACATAGTTACCAGTTAGCTTATAGGTATTAAGAAAAATTGATATTACAGGATGAGTTGTTCTAAGCTCTATGATTTAAGTCCAGGTGAGGTCTAAAGAGGGAAAGATGAATTTTTATAAAACCCTGTTGTCTGTAGCTTTGTTAAACAAAATTTGTAATCTTGATTTGGAAAAGTGACATCTAACTGATAGCTTTGAGAGAGAATTAAGAGAATTTTCATGAAGAAATTAGAGCTGATAAATATCTTTTGAATGCCACTCTTGAGGCATTCAGAAAAATTTCATTTGAATAGCATACAGTTGTGAACCTGAAGATTTTCTTTGTCAGAATAGTATATGTGCTAACGTGACTGAAAAGGAAGAAACTGTGTATTGTTAGATTTTTATTTTTTATCCTTTTCGTGTACCCTTTAAGTGTAATGTAAATTTTGTATTCTAGCCTGCTACTCCTTGAAGAAATTCCTGTCACCTAAACATTGAATGTCTTAAGTGCAGTATTGCGGGGCCTGTACCCAAAAGACATTATTTTACCTCCAGTGTTACTTACTATAAGTGTGGGTTTTTTCTTTTGGGTGTTCTCTTTTATGTTTTCATACATGTATATATTGCATACTATTTCTTAGAATTTGAAGGCTTGGAGACTGCTTTATAATGGTAAGAGAACTTAATGCTTATTTTTAGCTTGTCTTTTTGTAATCTAGATATGAGACAATAAGTTAAAAAATGTGTTGTGAAAAGATATTTCTCCCTTTTTGATCATCTACATTGGTTTAGGAGAAATGTATGAAGAAACATAGCATAGTAGGAAAAGACCCAATTTCAAAATATTTCAGACTCAATAAGAGAGATATTTTTAGCTTCAGAGAGTCTTTCAAGGAAACATTAATGCCTTTGCTCCATAGCTTGAGCTGCTCATTTCACATTTACTCTCTTTTTCTCTTTTATGTTCAGTATTGAATATCAACAATCTACTTTTTGTCTTCTGAAAGGTATAGGGATTCAAAGAGGTTGTAGAGAGGGAAAAAGGGAAGCAATATTTGTGAATCAATGAAGTCTTTCAGTGATATTTTTTAGTCTCATACCTTTAGAGCAATACATTTTTTAATATTACTCCCTTTTGAAAAAGGAATTTTGTATTATTTTCATTCCTTACTCCCCTGCAACCTCTTGCATGAGTCTTCTCTCTACCTCTCGTCCTCCCCCTTTACAAAAGCATTTTCTTTTTCTTTTTTCTTTTTTCTTTTTTTTTTTAGTATTAGTTTTTTTGTTTTTTGTTTTTTTTTTTTTATTTATTTTTTCCCATCCCACAGATCAGGCTGCAGCTGTGGGATACTGCGGGTCAGGAACGTTTCCGTAGCCTCATTCCCAGTTACATCCGTGATTCTGCTGCAGCCGTAGTAGTTTACGATATCACAAGTAGGTATATTGCAATGGGTTGACCTTTCTTATTTTTCTTGCTTGTTTGACTGATTTTGTTGTTAGGTACGATTGCAATTATGGGACACAGCAGGTCAAGAGCGGTTCAGGAGCTTGATTCCTAGCTACATTCGTGACTCCACTGTGGCAGTTGTTGTTTATGATATCACAAGTGAGTGGGGGGAATTATGCATTTCTAATCTTTCAACCTTTAGCTTAGCTGCATGCATGTTCTTGTCTTGTGCTTGTTTTCCTTACTAGCATGTAAAATTAAGTTTATCATAGCAAACTTTATCACAGACCACTAGGTCAGAAATACTTGCTTTGGTGTTTGTTAGCAGTATACTTTACTTTTCCTGTACCAGGTTTTTCACTCCACAAGTTGTCTTTCAGGTCCAATTATGAATCTTTTTCAAGGCTTTCTTAGTATTCTGTGATCCCTAAGCCATACCATAATTATGACTGAAGGCATATCTCCTTTTTCATTTAATTTCATCTGAGATTTCTCTAAAATAATCTGCAATTAAGTGTCTTGCCAAGTTTTCCAAATCCTCCAAGGCTTCTGTTGAGGCTATTAAAAGCTTCTGCTAGTCAGCTTTTCTCTGCTTTCCCCTTCAAATCATTCTGTCTCTGTAGAGGAAGACAGAGAAAATGTAACATACTTTTCTGTTAAATCATTATTGTTTGAATCATATCTGCATTCTATGACTGATGTTGCTAACAGACTACACTCATTTCTCTCCAAAAAATTTTAAAATGGGAAATTAAGTAAAGGTTTGTCTTTTTTTCCTAAAAACTGAATAATACCTTTGACCTTTTAAATGACTACAAATTTTCCTTGGAGCTTTGGTGACTGACAAGAAAATGCTTTCTGAAATTATCTTCACAAATTAGTTTATGATGTACGTAAGGTGATATTTACCATCATTCTATATAGTAGTCCATGATTTATAGGAAAACCAGGTTTATGCAGCATCTTGGACTTTTTAAAATACATTTATATAAACTGTTAGCTTGAGCTAGGAGTACTGTTAGGTATTTTTGTATATCTGCAGTCAGAGGTCATAGCTACTAAACAATAAGTGCAACAGTAAAATTGGAAGATTACATTCAGAGACTTTTTTATTTTTTTGGATAGGTGCTATATGCAGTCTTTCTTTTGCAGCTTTACTTTGGGTTGCTACTTGTTTTAAAAAAAAGTATGCTCCTTATTGTGCATTGACCAGTTTTGTAGCTTTAAAATGTTTGTGCTTGCTTTAACCAAAGCAAAAGAAACGTGTATTTTTCCTTAAAAATTCTACGAATATGTTAAAATATTAGTAAGTTGTTTTCTGTAATTGCTGTAAAAAGTATTAAAGTACTCTGTTTAGACTGTAACAGTAGAAAAGATGGATTTTGTTAGAAGTGATTTTGGTGCATTAAACAATAGACTTTAGGTTAAAGTGATCACAAACTGAGTAAGCAATGCAAACATAGTCATGTTGAAAGCTACTTAAAGACTACAGATTTTCTGGATGTGTTGGGACTTACTGTCTGACATACTTTTGGAAATGCTTTCTTTGTCATGTTTAGTATGTGTAAGTGATCAAAAAAGCATTGTGGCAATGTAACACCAAATTATCTGCCATAGCTGTCTTTATATTTTAAATATTTTTTCCAATTGTGTAGTACATTGCACTCATTTGATGTCAAACTATTTAAATATTGTATTCTTCAAATTTGTTTAGATCACTGACAGTTGTAATCAGATAAAATGGAGTTATGTTGCAGGCACATTAAAAGTGGGTTCCTAATGTGCCATCATCCTCCTTCCAACTTCCAGGGTATTTGGGGGGAGTGGTGTCCTTTGCTTGGGAGGCATTTTCAGTAATGCTAATCTCTGTCCACCCTTCCATACCAGATGTTAACTCATTCCAGCAAACTACAAAATGGATTGATGACGTGAGAACAGAAAGAGGAAGTGATGTTATCATCATGTTAGTAGGAAATAAAACAGATCTTGCTGATAAGAGGTATGATGTGATTTTGTGTGTGTGGAATATTGGTATCTGTTAAGCAACCTATTATTTTTACTCACTGAAAAATTGTTTGGAAAGGAAACATATTCAATTCTTCAGTTTTCTTTACTGTGAGAACCTGAAATAATCAAACTGAGTTCTTAAGGGAAAATGAGTTTTATTTTATGTCAGCCCATGCATAAATAACTCTTGTGGTAGATTGTTTATACATGAGGCCAGGAAATAGTTTACATTTTTAGGTCTCATGAGTGGCACCTGTGGCCATGTGTGGTAGCACATGCCTATAATTCCAGCACTCAGGAGGACAAGGCAAAGCACATTGCCTTGAATTTGGGGCTAGCCTGAATTACATAGTGAGACCCTGTCTCAAAAAAAAAAAAAAAAGGTGGGAACTGTGTTTTGTTAAAGGGCAGACCATTTTTTAAAACAAACTTTATCTTTAAAAATTATTCATAATGATTAAATGCACACATTTTTGTCATTGAACATTTGCCCATAGCACTTAATAGTGGGAGATTTTACTATTTGTTACATATTTATTCATGAACTGGATTATGAGGTTTTGGTAATGAACTTGTGATATTAACTACAATGTTGCAGTGAAATCTCATGTTCAAAGACTTACAGAGCTATAATCCCAGCACTCTGGGAAGCTGAGGCAGTAGGACTGCAAAGTTTGAGCCCCGTCTGGGCAATTAGACTATCTCAAACAAGAAAAAAGGCCTGGGATTAGAATAGATTTTTTTTTTTAAAATTTTTTTATTTTAAAGAGTAAAAGAAGGATAACATAGTAATAGGTGGGCTTACTGAATTACAGACAAAGTGGTAGGAAATTATCAATGGTTGTTGTTTTACATATTGTTATCTACACGATAGTTTCTCAGGAAAACAAATAGACAAATAATAGTGAGTTACAGACAAAAGTGGTAGGGGATTATCAATGGTGGTTGTACTATACTTTGGTATCTTCAAAGTGGTTTCTAAAGAAAATAAATAGAGCTATACATGAGCAATCAATTGAATATTCATTGACTGTTCTCAATGGTTGTTGTAGGAAACACATAGTAATAAACATACATCCATTTATGAAATAGCATAGGAACAATACAAACATTACAGAGTTATGGATAGATTAGTAGGAAAATATCAGTGGCTGCTGTACTATATGCTGGTATTGTGAAAGTGGTCTCTCAGAAAGACAGAGATACACAAGAAAGATCTAACAAGTAGTTACATCCTAAGGGTTGTGAAAAATAGCGTATTACCTCCTCCTCAGTGACTCTTTTCACTGAGGTGTGATGGCTGGAAGGAAGGCCAGGATTGAAAAGAAGGACCGAGAGACTTGCACCTGTGTCTAGCAACAGGCTGTTTTCTTTTTCCTCTATAGTCATGATTACCCGGGGCTCCTCCATGGAGATGACAGTCTGGCCAGAGGGAGAAGGCAGAGTATGTCCCAGGCCCCCTCATTCCTGTTAGACTAACTGGTAGGATGGGTCTGAGCTCTAGGGCCTCCGCTTCAGAAGGCAGACCGATATCCAGTGGTCTCCTTTGCATTCAGGGCAAGGCCCAGGGGGCCTCTTAGGGCAGTTCCTCTTGAGGTGGCCTGGCTTTTAACAGTGGTAGCAGATGAATGTAGTCGTCTAGTTCTTCTTGGGGCCCTGAGAATCAGACTTACGGTCTTTTTCTCTTGATGCTGCCTCAAAAGCAGCTGCTTTTTCTCGGTCTCTTTGTTTTCTCTCCTTGGCCACCTCCTCGTCACAGCTATAGAATACTGAGGAGGCAATCCTTACTAACTTCTCAAATGAGCCATCTGGAGTGAAAGCCATTTTTTGTAGCTTTTTCTCTCCAGCCTCCCAGCACATTGGGACCCCGCAACCACTTAGTGTCCTCTCCCCAACCATCAGCACAGGCAGCAGGAATCTCAGTGCAGACCTCTCCGGAGCTCCATGCGCTCCTCTACCGCAGCCTGTACTGTCAGGGGAAGAATGGCTTCTAGGGGGTCTCCCAAGGTATTGTGCAAGGTCCTCCTGGTTTCCAGCTTCCGAACGGCTCTCATGACCCAGTCAACTAGACCTCTGAGTCTTCGGGTGTAGTCTGTATTCTCATGTTCTCTGAGTCCTTGTTAAGCAGCTGCTCCTCCACTGACTCTGGACCATTTTGGTTCTCAGCGGCAGGGGCAAGAGCGACCTGTTGTGTGGCATGTATTCCCAGGGGTTTGTCCATGTCGGGATGATTAACGCATGTCCCCAGGCGGGCCAATTGTGTCATTGCTTCTCTGGGCCAGGATAGTTCTCAACTGTGTACTGGTGGCTGATTTGCCACCGCACAGCTTCCCGGATGCCAGCTGCCTGCCTCCCGGGTGCCTGTGTGGCTGGGGTTCTGCCCAAAGGCAGGAGCTCCCTGCTGCGTGGCTTTCCAAGTGCCTGCGCGGCTGGGGTCTCTGGCCCAAAGGCTGGAGCTCCCTGCCGCGTGGCTTCCCGGGTGCAGGCAGCCCACCTCCCCTAGGTGTTTTGTGTTTTTTTTTTTAAGTTTTGAAGACTAGATCATGTAAGGCAAAGTAGGGGCTATTTCTAAATAGGATTGCAGGATTTGAGTGGAGTAATTTTTCTTGGATTACTTTTTGCTTTATTGAAAATAAGAGAGTAAGTGAAGAAACGGTGAGACTGGAAAGGAGTGTAATACAGGCTGTAATGATGGTGAAAAACTGATGATGACTTGCAGCAGAGCAGTGATAATTGATGTGATAAGTGGTTAAATTCAGGTATATTTTAAAGATAGAGCTGTTAGGATATACTGATGCAGTGGATGGTTAGAATGCAGGTAAGAGAGACACAGCAGTCAAGGATTATACCCAGATTTTTTACCTGAACCAGCTGTCATTAACTGAGATGAGAGAGACTACCTAACGACTGATTTGGGGAGAGAATGTCATGATTTGAGTTTTGGTTATGTTTGGAATGGTTGTTAGATATCTGATTGTAGGCAGTTGGATATAGATCTGGAGTTGAAAGCAACAAGTCAAGCTAGATATATAAGCTTATTAGTTATCAGCATAGATGTTATTTAAACTGTGAGCCTATGTAAGATCACCAAAGGAGTGATGTTAAAAGGGTTTCATAAGTTTCTCAGCCTTGTCAGTATTGACATTTTGGGTCAGATCTTCTTTCTTGTGAGAGACTGAGCTGTGCATTGTAGGATATTTAGCAGCATCCCTGGCTTCTACCTGTAAGATACCAGTAGCACATCCACCTACACATATCAGGTTGTGACAACAAAATTTCCTGTCAAAATTGCCTCTATTGAGAACCACCGGTTTTAAAATTAAACAAGTGAAGAGGAATTGGCAAAATAAACAAGGAAAAATGAGTCACAAAAGTAGGTGTAAAATCAGTCAGATGAAGTATTCTGAAGCCAATTGAAAATAAATGTTTTGGGGCTGGGGATTTAGCTCAGCGGCAAAGTGCCTGCCTGGTAAGTGCAAGGTCATGAGTTCGGTTCCTGGTACCGGAGAAAAACCAAAAAAAAAAAAAAAAAGAAAATAAATGTTTTAAGGCGAATACAATGATTAGCTGTGTAAATTCTCTTTAAAGTAAAATGGAGACTGAGAATTAACCATTGAAATTAGAGATTTGAAGGTTATTAGTAATACTGACAAGTGGAGTAGTGGGATTGGAAAGTTGACTATAGTAGGTTCAAGATAGAAAATTTTAGGCTGGGGATGTGGCTCATTGGTAGAGCACATGCCTGTCTTGCACGAGGCCCTGGTTTTGACCCTTAGTACCACTAAATAAGTAAGCAATCCAGTACATAAATAAATTAATAAATAAAATTATTAGAATGCCCTTTCTCCCCTGAAGTTATAACACTTAACAGTGAACAAGGTGATTCTATTTTATAACATATACTAAAAATCTACACTGGGTTAACTATAAAACTCTTAAGGAAAGAGTGTAGATTTGAGTATATAGAAAAACATACGCCTTTGGATAAGTAAATAATGTAAAAATGTTAGTTTCCTCTCTTATTTCTATTTAACAAATCCCAATAACCAGATACTACTAGCTATTTTTTTTTCCCCTAGAGATAGACTAATTATGTACCGTGTTTGTTTGAATCAGGATAGCCATTAAAACTGTTGTGGGGGATGGACAGGCAGAGCCCTGATGAGCACTGAGCTCTTTCAGATATTTAAATGTATTACAAAGCTTCTGTAATAACAGCAGTAGAGTCTTGGTACATTAGTAGTATACAGAAAAATGGAACAGAGTACAACACCTATAAACAGATTCAAATACATATGAACAGTAATTAACAGATTGAGTAACATATAAGAAAAGATAAAAATTGGTTCAAGTCTTAATATTATATTAGGACAGGGCCGGGGGATAGAGCTGAGGGGCACGGTGCCTGCCTCACAAGCTCAAGGTCCTGAGTTCGATTCCCAGTACCAAAAAACCCCACAAAAATACAGTGCATTTCTCTATCAGGACAAATTCCAAAGGGATCATGGATTTAAATGTAAAAACAAAATAGCCAGGCCAGGTGGCACATGCCTGTAATCCCAGCACTCAGGAGGCTGAGGCAAGAGAATTGCTGCAAGTTTGAGTGAGCTTAAGGCCACCCTGAGCTGCACAGTGAAACCCTGTCTCAAAAAGACAAAAAGCAAAAAAAGTAAGCCCTAACATAATTCTAGTATTTCATATGGTAATACTATGACACAGGGAAAATACTAATAAATGTACAGAAACAAAATTAATGGCAAACTAGGGAAAGGTACTTATAAATCATATCATAAATGTTCAATATCTATAATATATAATGATCATCTAAAAAGAAAAAAAAAACAAATAGCACTATAGGAAAATGGACTAGAAATATAGACAATTAAAGTAATTAACTCTTAATTATCTTGAAGCTTAGTGAAATTTAAATTAAAAGTTATACTGAAAAACATTTCATATGACAAAATTCCAAGTTTGTTGAAATCTTCTGTGAGCAAGCCCACAAGGGGAGATACTCTTACAAATTGATGGAGTAATACATAGTGGCATAACCCCAATGAGGGAGAGAGGGTTGAGAGAGAAGGTTTTTGGTAGTATCTAACATGCATTAAAAGGAATATGGAATATATATATATACATATATATTACTATGGGGTGAATCTCTAGAATATTTGACTAAGTAGGAAAAAAAGGAAAGGTGAGGTAGTATGTAGCATGTGATATACTGTATGAAAGGGAAATTGAGATGTATTTTTTTTTTACATTTGGGAAGACATTTTATAGGGTTTTGTCTTGTGGGGATGTTTATTGACTTGCTTGTTTTGAGACAGGGCCTCACACTGTGACTTAAACTGGCCTTGAACTCTGTTACGTAGTTTATGCTGGCCTCAAATTTTCTGTAATCCTTGTACCTCAGCCTCCTGAGTGCTAGGATTACCAATATGTGCCGCCATATCCAGTTTAAATAGTAGTTTTGAAGAAAATGTTTACTTTGGATGTAGCTCAGTGGTATTTACCTAGCATGCGTGATGCCGTGAGTTCCCCCACAGGTTTTTAAAAAGTTTACCTCTGGGTAAAGGGACAAATGAGACTGAATGACAAACTGAAGCTAGACTTGTATGAAATTAACTTGCTTTGTATAGTTGACTTTGAGATTGTGTAATATAATTTTTAAATGAAATCCAATAAAAATTAAATTAAAATTAAAAATTATTAAAAATGAAAGTGGAACAATTTATTCAAAGTAACCTAAAACATAGTACTCTGATTCAGACTGAAAAGAACTGCAGAAAAATCTTAACTGTTTTCAGTACACATGTTGCTGGTGATAATGTTGACTATTATTTTTTCCCAAATGATTTGTGCATCCAGCATAGAATAAATGAATGAAATACAGATACAAGATCATAAAAGCTAAAAAATCTTGTAGCTCTGAATGTAAGTAGGAAATACTTACATAAATTCATTATTATTTATTGTTTGTTTGTTTGAGACAGAGTCTTGTGATATAGTTCAGGCTGGCCTTAAATTCATTCTATAGTCCAGGCTGGCCTTGAACTCATGGAGATCCTCCTGCCTCAGCCTCTTGAGTACTGAGGTTACAGGCGTGTGCTACCACATTCAGTTTAAAATAAAATAAAATAAAGTAAAATAAATAGGTAAATAAATAAGCAAGCAAGCAGAAGCTAACCTAACCAAGTAAGTGGAAGACCTCTATAATGAAAATTATAGTACTCAGAAAAAAGAGATTGAAGAGGCCACCAGTAAATGGAAAGATGTTTTTGTTTTTGGAAAATCAGAAAAAATATTGTTAAAATGGCCATCTTACCAAAGATGATATATAGATTTTATGCAATCCCAATCAAAATACCCATAGCATTCTACATAGACCTAGAAAAAACAATCCTAAAATTTACATGGAAGCAGAAAAGACCCAGAATAGCCAAAGCAATCCTGAGCAATAAGACCAAGTCAGGAAACATCACAATACCAGATTTCAATTTATATTACAAAGCTACCATTATAAAACCAGCATGGTACTGGTACAAAAACAGATATGTTGTTTGGTTATGTAGAATTACAGATGCAAAAACTATCCCAGACACCTTCAGCCATTGAATCTTGGACACTAAGGACATTAGTATGGAGATACCTCAAAAAAGTAAATATAGAAATATAGGGGCTGGGGATATAGCTCAGCAGCATAAGTGCTTGCCTGGCAAGCATGAGGTCATGAGTTTGATTCCCGATACCAAAAAAAAAAAAAAAAAGAAAAGAAAAAGAAATCTATTTGACCTAGTCACATTTGTCTTTTTTTTCATATTGTGTCTTTAATAGATTTTAGATGCATACTATATTTATAGCAGCACAACTCGTAATAGCTAACTCTTCGAAATTAAAATGGCTTATAAGCCTATCAATGGGTGAATGAATAAAGAAAATGTGGCATGTATATACACAACAAAGTACTACTTAGCGAAAAAGGTTAAATTTGAGTCATTTGTAGAAAAATGGATGCACCTTGAGATCATAATGTTATGGGAAATAAACTTAACATTATGTTCAGTGGGCTGGAGATACAGTTCAGTGGCACAGTGCCTGTCTGGCAAGCACAAGGTCCTGAGTTTAATTCCAGGTACCCCCCCGCCAAAAAAAGACACACACACACACACACACATACACACATATCAGAACAGAAGATTCATATCACATGGTTTTGCTAGGAGTATAGCTCAGTGGCACAGCACCTGCCTGACAAGCCCAAGGTCCTAAGTTCGATTCCTGGCACACACACACAAAAAATCACTTTCTTACCCTATTGTTTCCCTAGTGTAAGAACCTGAAAGAGTAAAATCTGAAAGGTACAGTAGACATTGTGAAAGGGAAACAAACTGCTCAAAAGTAAAGAACAACTGGGGTGAGAGAAAAGAGAAAAGAAAGAAGGAAAAAAAAAAATATATATATATATATACACACACACATACACACAAGATAGCTAAGATAATCGTACTACTAATTTCTATTGGTTTATTGAAAGAAACAGTTAATGTTTAATCTTACATGCGTGTATCTGGTTATCTGAGTAACCACTTCGAAGATAACAGTATGTAATACAACAACCATTGTTAAATTTCCTATCACATTGTTTTGAAATTATGTATCATTTTTATTGTTTTTGTGTTGTTTTGTTTATGTCTTTGTTTTTGTTATTTTCTCTCTCTTTTTTTTTTTTTTTTCTGGTACTGGGAATCGAACTCATGACCTTGCACTTGCCAGGCAGGCACTGTGCTGCTGAGCTAAATCCCCAGCCCCTGTTCTTTTCTCTTTAAAATAAAAAAAATCACATGATTTCTTTTATATGAGAAACTCAAAAATAATTTAAAGAGCAAAATAAAAGGTAGATGATAGGAAACAGGTAGATAAACTTTGTGGAAATGGGAAAAGGATCTGGGAATTGGGGAAGAGAGGGATGGGAGGAGACGGAAATAAAAGTTTTTTAAAGGAAAGGAAGCAAACTATTAAGTTTTGGTTTTGTAGGGGTCAAATATAACATACAGAAGTATACCAGATTTTAAGTGTGCTGCATATTGATGAATTTTCTTGCCTGTACAACTAGCACCTGTATCAAGTTGTTTTCAGAGCTTTGTTTATAACCTTCATGGTATCTTTTGAAAGTAAAAATTTATCTTTTTAAAAAATTTTTCCATAGGCAAGTGTCAATTGAGGAAGGAGAGAGGAAAGCCAAAGAGCTGAATGTTATGTTTATTGAAACCAGTGCAAAAGCAGGCTACAATGTAAAGCAGGTAAGTGTCCTTTGAGTTTGGGTTGATGTTACCAAATTAAGAAAACATGAAATAATGTGTGACTATTCAGTTCTCAAGTGTAAGATTGGCTTCCAGTTAGCAACAGTAGACCTTAAGAACTAGCAACGTATTTTCAAACAATGAAGAAACACAAATGCGCCGTATATTGGGGAAAAAATATTTAAAAAGACTTGCCAAACGTTTCAGATTGTGCCTGAAATAGGGTAAATATTTCATTATGATTACCTATGATTGCAAAATTTTAAACTTACATTTTTCTCACTACATCCCTACTTCAAGACTGTGAAAAATGAAAGCAAATTTTTTTGAGTAGTGAATGTTTTCCTTATGATGAAAATACATTTTAGTTATTTTATTTCTAATTATCCTTAATAAACTGTTGGTATTTAAGCAATTTGCAGCAGGAGTGCTTTAGGGGGAAGAGAGCAGAAAAATTCAAGGAGACCTTGTATTACCAAGCTGTTTTCTACTAAATGGCTCAGTCCCAAACTTTTTATGCTTAATTTTTCAGGGCTATATATTCTATAAAGTGGTGATCCAAGATTTGTAAAACTCACAGACAAATTATTTCAGTTGAAAGCAATCAACAGAGGGTTAAAGTAAAATCAACAGAGGGTTAAAGTAAAATCTTTTCTTTTTTTTGGTTTTTTTTTTTTTTTTTTTTTT